AATCCACTGCTAAGGTCATCACCTTGTAAATATTCATCTAACTTAATCCTCATCTCCTCCACTTCACTGTTAGAAGTTGCTTGTGGAGTTCCATTGACAACTACACTATCATCGGTAGAGGCTAGTGCTATGCTTTGTGTCATCCTTCTTGCTTGGTAAATGGGTGAATGAATCTTTTTTATTTCTAGCCACCCACACGTGGGGTTTGCTTTACCATATTCTGACCGAACATGCCTTGAGAACCTTTTTTTGGAAAACCGACAATAGAATATATGCTGATTTCGATCAGCCATGCCTTGGCAGAGAAATTTGCCATTTGATGAATAGGAACTCCTGGAAAATGAAATTCTATTAGTACAAATTATTTTTTACAGTCTAGATGCAAACCTACATACTAATAAAGTTGTTCAGAAATAGGAACTCAATCTAAACCAATCTTTACTTGCATGATCTTCGACATGATCGCACGTTATTCTTAGACAGCATTCGATCACGAATATCATGAAACCAATTCTACAACCAAGACTGCTCATAGCAAGCACATAGATATTATATTCTGAGAGGGCATATTTCACATGCATCATGCCTTTTAGGCGATGGAAAAAATCCAGCGGACCTTTGGCTTAATCAACTCGTGGTCTAGCTTGTTCATGAAGCATTGCACCAGTTTCTTTATGTAAATTCTTTCGTGGGATATGGGCCCGGAAGATAAATTTTGACCCAGTTCGCAAGATCACACCATCAATAAGCTAATGCTGGCTTTACCCTTCAAAGCTTCCTCTCTCCATGGGACCAAATTAGCCAAAATAAAGCCTATAATAACTAGTGAGACTCCTTACTCTGATCGGAGGGTGACATTTGGGGCAAAATTTATAGTGCCATGTCATTTGTTAACCAAATATTTGCATAGAAGACCATGAGTTCATTGTCGTCCCTGACACAACCTTTCTTGCACCCGATGATCGTACTAAAATCAAGATGGGGCGAGATCAATCGAACAGTTGCACAATCAAATCGAATTTTGTGAAAATCCTTGATGGAAAGGGGAAAGAAGAACATATTTGCGCGCATTAGGATACAAGAAACCACCTCGTGATCGGACTCTCGCCGCCACGACGGGAGCAACGGGCGGCGACATGGGGAGCGGCCATCGCCATCGCCTTCGGATCGGACCGCGGCGGCGGATCTGCCCTCCGAGGAAAGCGAGCGAGCGAGCGGCTTCTTGAAAGGCGGCGGCGGGAGGAGAAGGGTGCGCTTGCCGTGCAACAATCGGTAGATAGGGTTTATATCGGCGGAGGAATGTGTGGTGGCGAATGCTCGAGCGCAGCAGCGGGTTTGAGGTAGTTTGGGTGTCCAACGTGCGCTCGAGTCGACCGCCGCAGGTCGCCTCCTCCCACCGGAACCAACCAAATTTAACTTCTTCCCGATAACTTATTTCCTAAGACAATGAGCTCAAACAGCTGGCTATCGTGGTTCTTTTTAATCCTCAGACACCCAAAACCATATACCCAAGGAACACCCTGGTCAAAGAATGATCCTGGAGATGATCAACGTACCTGCTTGCCGTTAGATCGAGGGTGCAGATTGTTAGAGTGCTTTTTTCCGGACATCGTTCGCGTGTGTAAAAAAACTACTTGATTTTTACTAATACATTAATTATTAGGATAATGTCGACAACGCAGGAAGGGGATGAACAACGTGAAGTCTAATTTGTATTTTACTCGATTGTGTTTGATCAAGAAATAAATACTCGATTTCTTGATGAAGAAATTAGAGTTCGATGCATTCGGATCCGGATCTGCAACCCTGGTGGATTCTAGGATCCGATAACGCCACTAGTTATTGCCGAAGGCCCAATTTGATCCAATAAGCAAGAAAAGAAACCCCTTCAACCCACATGGAATCGTTTAGTCATCGTTTGTATATGAGCCTTCTGGACTTCCTACACATCTTATCCAAGCGAGGTTTCATGGACACCAGAAGTCGTTTCTGAGGGTAAAGATTACCTTACGCTAGACATTGGTTTCCCTATTTTGCACTTCTCTTAATATTTGGCATGAGAGCAGCTATCTGAATGTATGTGCTATTAGAAATGTGATAAGACCCTCGTAAAAGAAGGAAGAGTTCTGATACCAAATGATAAGAACCTAAAGTTTTATCATAAAAGAAATGAGAATGAGAATGATCGCTTCGAGGTGATCGACCTCTTTGATCACTTCAAGGGGATCAGTGATTGCTTCGAGAGGATCGACCTCCTAAGATTTGTCATAACAAACTGGAATAATATTTCATTAATTAACTGATTGATTGATTTAAAGAAAGGATTACATCATTGTTTATAGAGTTCCACCCAAAGTCCATCAAGACTTGGACTCTTAATATTAATTAAATATTAAATAAATATCTATCCGATTTTAATTGAATTAAATAGACTTAATAAATAATTGAACTAAATTGACTCAATAAATATTATTTAAAAAACTCAGGATCCTAACAAAATACTGTTAAAATATTAAGAGAATATAACAAAATTTTAATGGAGAGAAGTGGTATCGTTGAAGGCCAAACGATGAACTTAATTATGGCAAGGCGAGAGGGAGACAAACTTTTGTGCCGTGTCTATATTTGGATGAACAGGCACACAAAAGATCCAACTTTCCTGCTTTTTTTTTTTCCTTCTTCCTTCTTCTTCTTTTTGCCTTGATATCCTTTTCGACAATTACATGGGCTAAAAAGACTATATCGAACCACCTGTCAGCCTTCATTGCTTTGCTCTTATAATCTTATGCCCTGACATTGCTGCTAGTTAGAAATCTGTCCGTCCGTTGTATATTTACTGGTCATAAATCCTAAGAGATTTCAAAGTATTTTTTGACATCAACCAATCCATCAAAGCCTAGAATACATAGGTACTCATAGAATAAATCGAACTTTGATTTCTATGGCTTCTTTACTTTGTATAGAGTTTGTCTGGACTTTCGATGAATTATTTGTCTCCCATGATATCGATTCCAGAAATTTCCTGGTGACTCCAACGCATCTCGAAGTCTTGAGCTTTCTTTCAGTAAGAGTAGGTATGCCGATCACCCGTTCCCTTGTAACACCTGGAGCTTCTGTCGATAGAAGATTTGGATAAGATCAATATAGAGTATTCGTTCTCTCAAATAGTACCCTCATCGTAGAAGTTATCAACTCGACGAAATGCTTGAGTGCCCTAACTCTGAGACAAGAAGGAGATGGAGATATGTCGACAGACACGTCGTTCCGGTGCACTGATGTGCATGTCCATCTCGGATGGCGTTCCACATCACTGTAGGCCATGACAACCAAATGAATTGGTTCACATCCACATAGAGGAGCCATTTCTTCCTCGGCGAAGAAGAATCAACTGTGCTTCCTACTCACAAGCTCCCATCCAAACTAAAGGAGCACTTGGAATCAGACGGATGGCTATGACTATGACCCAATGCCTACCTATACCAACAGCATGGCATCACATCCTGCATTACGGCCCCGCTCCTTTGCTAATGTTGGTGGAGATGATGGCCACCACTTCCACAGTATCAGCCATTATGAGATCATCCACCCCTCGCCCTGCTTCTCGAGTCAAAAGATGGTGGTCCTAAACGCAGTGTTTGATTCATATCTTTCCTTCTAAAACTAGGACATGACACTGCAACAGTTTCGCTTTTTGTTGTGTGCTGGGCTTGATGGTAGTGATCTCTCTGTCAGAATCATGTGTTACGGGGTGTTAGGAAACACGCTTTCGGCCAAGTTATGTCAAGTAGCCAGAAAAGGAGGATCATTGAATACATGCATCGATCAAAAAAGTTGGTAGGTTGAGGATGAAATGATAACCATTGAGCGAGTCGTTGCTTAGTTTACTTCATAGGTGTCTGAAGCAAATGACCATTATGACAATGGAGGAGTTGTCACTGGCAGAAGGACGATCGATCTCTTATTACTCGTCCTTCTCCCGATTTTATTCTCATTGTCTCGTTTTCTGAGAACAGAGACAAATAAAAGGAGAAAAAGATTAATAGACAAGAAATGGTCTAGTGGTTGCGATTGAAATGAAAGAGGAGCAGACTTCAGTATTTCCAGCGAAGAAACAGAGGTAAGAGTTCTTCGCAGTAGTTTAGGAGAGGAAGGGACGTACAGAGATCACGAGCGGGTAAAGATTGGCGCCGCTCACGTGTCTTGGTCCAGTCACTATTCAGTGAAAGAGTCCCTTTCCTGACGGAGGCGGATTGGCAAGGAAGTCCTATCGACCAATGAGAAGGCGTATTTTCCCGCTTGGTGGCCTGGCCGTGACAGGGGAACAAGATAAAGCAAGAACCAAAGGAACCCACCGGCCTGGGCGGTGCCGCTTGTCCGGAAGCGCCCCTCCCCAGGTGGCCGCCGGACCCACGCCGTCCTCTCCTGCCTGTCTCCGTCACGTGGCCTCGCCATCCACCGACGTAACCGAGCGGGTCCCACTCGGACGGACTCAGGTGGGCAGTCCGATATCATCCCCCCACCCCTCTTGCGCGAGGTTCGCTGGCCGCGGCCCCGCCATTGTGGGACCCGCTTTCCTGCCAAGGAGAGGCCACGAGCGTACGTACCGCAGTGCGGGCCAGCCACGTGGCCCGTTTAAAGGAACAGTTGATCCTATAATGATGCTTACGTGGATGTCTCTGGGTTTCCAACTCATTATCGTACACCGCCCCCTGAGTATGGACGCCGTTAAATATGAGCTTTCTACGTGTGGACGTATAGTTGTATACGTACTATTTAACATATAATATATATAAATATATTATATGTATATATATTGTTGTGGGGGTGTATGAATCTCCATCCACATGGGCTCACACAATCCGAGGCATATGCTCAACAAATGAAAATGGCTATGCATATCTTCCTCTACCAATATACCACAATAATGGTGTTCCGGCAAGCCAACACTGTGTGGTTGCTTGCCTGTAAAGGTCTCACACTGCCATCGAGTTCCTCGTATAAATACCCTCACAACCCCAAGAGCTGGCTCCATCCCACCCACTCCTATCTCTGTGCTCTGTTGTGCTTGCAGCCTCCTCTTCTTTCTCTGCCTCTCTCCCATGGCTTCCGTTGAGGTGAGAGCCAATATCCTCCTCATCCATCTCTTACTTAGCATGAATTATTAGGTTGCATGGTTCCTACTTCCATCTAGCCAAACTCTACGTGATGGGATTCTGATACTTCCATCTAGCCAAACTCTACGACGTGCATGCCATTTAGATCTTGTGATCACGCTGAATTCGTTTAATCTAAAGACAATAAGTTGACAGAGAGCGATCGACGACTTTCAAGCTTGATCTATGGTGACGACTCTGTGATGCATGCAGGTGGAATCAGCTCCAGTTGTCGAAGTGCCAGTAGAAGCCCCCGCCACCCCTGCCGAAGCGGAAGACGGGGCACCGCCTGCCGTGGAAGAGGTGGTTGAGACCGAAGCCGTAGCCGAACCTGCAGAAGAGCCCAAAGAAGAAGCCCCGGCGGCAACGGAACCACCAGCAGCGGAACCCACAGCAGAGGTCGCTCCGGAGCCTGAGGAGAAGCCCGTCGAAGAGCCTTCGGCAGTCGAGGTGGCGGAGGCGGCGGTGGAGGCCGAGCCAGCTGTCGCCGAGCCCACAGAAGAAGCTAAGCCGGAGGCCGAGCCCGAGATCGCCGCACCTGCAGCCGAGGAATCGTCTGAACCCGCCGTAGAAGAGCCGAAAGCCGTGGAGGAGCCACCGGCTGCTGTGGAGGAGGTGAAGGCCGAGGAAGCGGCAGAAGAGAAGGCCGAGTAGGATGCTGCTTCGGTCGCGATCATTTTGGATGCTATCAAGGTTCACAATAAGAGATTAAGGATTAAAGCCTACAACTATTATCCTAATATTAAGGAGAGTGTGAGGCTATTTGGGTCTGCTGGATCATGAGAAGTACATATAGTGCTGTTGTCTTCGCCATGCCTTTTCCAGTTTGTGTTGTAGTTCCTTGATTACTCCCTGGCTGTTTTACTATATACTGTCCTGTGAGTTTAATATCAAGGTGTTTTACTCGATCTCTCAATTACTCTCTTTATTCGGTTAATGCAGGTTTAAGTTGTCCGTTATTTTTTTATGCTATATATATATATATATATATATATATAATGTTTCTTACAGTGATCAGACCTGATGCAAGTAGTAATTAACTATCCAAAAAGGCAAAAAAAGGAAGAGGAAAGAAAGTAATAATTCAAGAACTCATGCGTCGGTGGACTAAGGAAAGAGGGTGTTGAGTACCTTGCAAAAGCATAAGGATCAAAAGAAGGAGAGAGGGAGAGCGGAAAAGAGTATCCTGCCACCCGAAGGCACAACCTATCACTTGAGCAGGTCTTTGGACCAAAGGAGACGGTGTCTCTTTCTTTCTTTGATCTGTCATCTCACTTGATGCACGAAGGAAGTTGATTGAATGTCAAGGAATTAATGAATTCGATAACATGCGATAGGAGAAGATGACATTTTCAATAAATAAGAATTACATTATATATAATTCTAAGAATATGTACCACATCTTATTGTATTGTATAAGATTTATACCACTTGATATAAGTTCGATACAGAATATATCTTTTAACGGGTCAAAAAAAAAAAAGAAGAAAATTTACTCTTTTTTTTTCTGTCCCTAAACTATATTAAATATTTAAATAATGGTAGACTGGAAATGAAAGTAAAGTCCCTTTCTCGCATTCGTTCTCTATTGCATTGGCGGAAGAACAAAACAATATCTGATTCTGAAATCAAGGAAAGATATTGAAAAATATATTTTCGAAATAAACTTTTATATGTAGCGGAAAAGAATATCGATTTATTCCCATGGAGCATTCAGTAAGAAGAAGATTCATTAAATCGGAAATATCGATAAATTCCTGACTTGCGTGGTCTAAGAAAATAAAAAAAATCCGCTTGTACAATTTCATCTATATCGAATTTTAATATCAGAATAGCCGATATAGTCGTCATTCATTAGGTCCACTTACTTTTTATTAATTTAAAATTTAATGTTGGGTTTGATAAAAACAATGGAGAAGTAAGAATATTCCTGTCCAAAAACAAAAATTTGAATAATTAGACATGAAGAGGACTACTTTGTCAGTACAGAGTAGACTAGTTCTAATAATTATAATTATTCATTATTATTTATACTAATAATAATGAATAATGTTTCACTTTTTAACTATAACTCGCTATGACTATAACCCTCATAAATTTACCAAAGAAGAAAATGATCTTATGGAATCAATAAATTATGTTGGTATCATCCAATACTATATGGTATGTAAACATTGATTATAGTAAGTAAACATGAAAAACCTCAAAGTAGGTTTATTACCTTTAATTAATCCTTCAATTTATATCAGAACAAGAATTTGGTTTCATGTCAACTGTGGGGCCGGAATGTTTCAACTCCACTTGAATCATCAGCGAGGAATTCAGCAGCTGTTCTTCCCATAAAACTCTTTTCTTATATATTTTATGCATGTTTAATTCCCTTCGAGCTTCACGTCTGGTAAACATAGAAGGCACAAACGTCGAAGGAAGGTCTCCAGTTACATTGACCTGGAACACACATCGTTCGCATAGCTAAGCTGACCCAGTTGCTGAAGAGAAGCCAAGAAAGCCAGTGCTGTTCTAATGATCGATGCTTCCCTCTCCTTCGTTCTTATGCCTTTGTTTACGTGTCGCCGACATCCCTCGTTCCTCCTTGCTTTCACGCATGCCTCAAAGGCCCACCTTATTCTCCCCAACACGTAGGGCGTACAAGAAGCAGCATCCAAATCCTCATGAAGAACAGCTAATACATCTGCTAATCTCCGATAACTCCAACCCAAACCCATCAAATCAGCCTACTCACAACCCACTCACCCAATCAAATTAACTCGGAGTTAACGGGCTATTAATCGTGTGATCAAGCTTATTTGAGTCATTAGAAACTTCGCTATATGTATACATATATATATATGTATATATATGCAGCAATGCAGCAGCTGTACTCCCAGCATTGCAGCAATGGGGTTTCTCAGGACAGCCGCCATGGCCATACTGCTGCTGTCGATGACTTTCGAGGGCGGCGAAGCCGTCTGCAACATGACACAGGAAGGTTTCGATGCGTGCAAGCCTTCGGTGACGCCGCCGAATCCACCGCCGCCGTCGGTGGCGTGCTGCAAGGCCCTCGCCAACGCAGACTTGCCGTGCCTCTGCTCCTACAAGAACTCGCCGCTGCTGCCCGCGCTGGGAATCGACCCCGGCCTGGCCATGACGCTGCCTCCAAAGTGCAACCTCAAATTACCAGCAAACTGTTGATGGAGGTGGCGAGGTTCAGTCATTGGGATGATGTGCTTATCATCAGATGTCGATTACTCCTTCGTGATATCAAGTGCATGGAATAAGCTGTGTCATGCGTCGTCGACTGGTGCATCCAGCAGTAGCTGTCTAGCTGTTGAAAGTGTGATATTGTGTGCACAAGTATCAAAGTTCATGCAAATAATCTCCTGTTTCTTTACTAGATCGAAGCAATGAATTATACATGATTAATGGTTTGAAATTGTGTGTGAAATTAGCTAGCAGATTGCAGATCTGGATCTGCTCATCTTCTTCAACATTCTCGGTGGGCAATACAAACGTGCTCACGTGCGGCAGTCATCGACCTCTCTATTCCTCTTCCGCCGTCAGACCATTAGAAAAGCTTACACCATATAAACTATATTTTGGTCGTGATTAGATCTGCCCGTGATCTCCTAATGCTGCCGAACTTAACTCACGGGCTCAATTCAATCGGCGTTTGATATCGTGTTCTAAAGTTGAAATCGATGGGTGAGACAGAATTTATTCATTTGTCTCCTTGATTTCGAGTAATACGATCAAACAGTGTAGTTCATGCCAACTTGCATCAAGTTCTTGTTGGGTATCTGAAGGTCGACGAGCCCCTGCCGGAAGTTTCTCCGCAAGAAATCATAGACGTAGTCGACGACCACCTTCTTCACCAAGCTGGAATTCTTGCTCGCCCTGACCTCGCTGTGACCCAGCAAGTAGACGACTCCTGCGGCGCAGGAGCGTTCCAAGAACCTGATCTCCTCCTCTGCCTCTACCTTCTCTCGGCAGCCTCCCTCCATGGCTTCCACCCGAATAAAAGACTTGAGCTGCGCCATGAGCAGGCACTCGAAGACCTCGCAGCCGACTCGCCGATCCCGGTAGCCATACCTCACGATGCACCTGTACATCCCGTGATCCTCCGGACCAACTCTGCGAAGCAAGAAGCGCTCCTCTGCCGGCACGTTGCTCACCGGCAAGTACTTGACGGAGACGAAAACGAGCACCGAGTGCATGGCGGGGAGGTTGGTGAGGAAGTGGCGGAATATTGCGGGGATGCCTTGCGTCAGCTCGGTGTAGAGAAGGCCGACGCCGGGAACCCGAGCGACGCCGAGGTTGGAACCAAGCCCACTCAAGTACTCTGCAGACACCTTCTGTTCCACTTCGAATGCGTGGCGCTTGCTTTGGACGTAGTGCCACACATACATGACGAAGAAGAGCAGCGCTGCAAGTGTCAGTGGAAGATAGCCTCCTTCACTGAACTTGTAGAGCACCGATGAGAAGTACAGGAGCTCAAAGGAGAAGACCACGAGAACAAACATCGCTATAAGGACAACGCTTGTCTGCCATATCGTCAGCATAATTAGGATGAGAAGAGAGGAGGTGATGATCATCACCGCGACCACCGCGATCCCTGTGGCGCGCGGAAGCAGCAGTTAGTCCACGGCAGATCAAGAGCAGACGGGCAAAAAGCATTACCGTAGGCGTTCCCGATCTTGGACGTCTCTCTGAAGGAGGCTGTGACCATGAAGCAGGCGAACATGAGAAGGAAATTTATCTCAGGAATGTAGACCTGCCCTCCGTGCTTGTGAGAGGTGTGGACGACGCGGACTCGAGGGAAGCAACCCAAGGCCATCGACTGCTTCACGATGGCAAATGTGGCCGAGATCATCGCCTGGCTCGCAATTATGGAAGCCAGGACGGCGATTACGAACATGGGCCAGTACACAGACTCTGCAAGCAGCAAAATAAGAATTCGAACCAATGCAACTCATGATCACAAATCTTCTTTGAATGGAAGCTCACCTGGAGTAGACTTGTAGAAGGCATCAGCCACATGGTCAGGAAAGTTAGACAGGTATGCAGCTTGTCCCAAATAAGCACAGAGTAAGCAGGGGTAAACCAATCCAGTGAATGCAACCTAGCAACATTTTATTAGATTGAAAGGGAGGCTTCTTATGAGTTTGGAATTTGAGGTACGAATAGGGTGAAGTACCTGAATTGCTCTCACTGAGAAGTGTCCCAGATCAGCAAACATAGCTTCTGTTCCTGTGATGCAGAGAACAACACCTCCCAGGGATATCCATGCCTCTTTCGGATTCCTCTTCAAGTAGGAGCTTATGTAGATGGGGTTGAAGGCCCTCACCACTGTGGAGTCATGGCGGATCAAGTTGGAGATTCCAATGATTCCTATGAACAAGCACCAGAAGAGGATTGCCGGAGCAAATGTGTAGCCCACTTTGTCAGTCCCAAACCTTTGAACGGAGAAGAGAAGCACCAGCACAGCCACTGATATCAGCGCTACTACATCTAGTATTCCATCGACCAAAACAGTGCTAATTAGCTGACCTTCAAAGTTCTGTCAACATCAAGTAGCTCTCCGAAGTGTATAATCTTTACCTTTGCTCAGTGCTGCATCCATTTTCTTGATTCCATCTACTGCTGATAGAACTGCGTCGTCAGATTTCTCCCCACAGTCAGGAGCAAGACAAATCTCCATCTGATAAGAAAGGCAGCAACAAAGAGAGTTGACTGATCAGACCTGAGATGCAAGGAGTTAGAATTCCATCTCCGACGACCATGCAAGTCCCGAAGAGCGTCAGAGAGAGAAGGATAGTCTTAGCCCAACTGCTGTTCTCCAACGCCTCTTTAATCTTCTTCGCCCGTTTCGGATTCTTGCTCGGGAACTTCGCCGTGCAAGCAGAGAGTTCATCGTCCTCTGCTTGCTGGTTAGGGATTGCACTCACCTTGGCATGCCTACATATCAGCGAGTACATGGCGAAAGTCCCTCCTGTCATTTGCAGAGACACAGAACGATGCACATGAACTCGTATTCACGGTTGGATCCATAAATATAGGCAGGAAAATCCACCACCTTCTCCATTGTCGTTAGCCCGGAGGACGATGAACACATATTTGATGAGGGGAAGGAGAGTCAGCGAGTAGATGATGAGCGAGAGAGCTCCGACGATGTCGTGTTTGCTCGGCACCCGGTCGGAGAATGTGCTGGCAAACACGTACAGCGGCGACGTTCCGATGTCTCCATACACCACTCCGATGCTCTGAAAAGCCAGCTGCATTAGTGCAGCTGTCGAAAGAACCTGCAATGTTTAGAACCAGAACTAATTAGCCATGAAACAGAGCAAGGACATGAGAATTCCAATGCATCAAACACCTAAGCAAACTAGATGGAAAACGATATCAAATATGGGAAAGCACTACACATTCAAGTTATATGGCCGTAGAATTAACAGACGAGACAGAGAAACGTAGAACCTCATGCTTACTTTAGAGGTACCGCGCATCACAGAGATCTTGCCAGCCTCCATCTCAAGCGAATCCATCCTGTTCAAGTTCTTTGTGACAGTCTGCTGTGCTTCTTCTACTCCCTCTCCATCCTCTCTTTCTTGCTCCTCTTCCTTGCTCACCATGTCATCTATATGGACAGAAACGTCTTCGGCTATCACCTCCATTGAGGAAACTCGACCAATGCGTGGCAGCAGGAGGTGCCTGCGTTGGCCTTATATGTAGGAGGCGACGGCCTTCAGCTGACCACGGGGACTGATGGGCTACGTGTGAGTGGTATTGGGATCTGAGTTTGCTTGGCCGACGCGTGTGAGCGGGGGAGGTGCGGACGAGGGGAGGTTGCGACCTCGGCCGAGGCAGCGGACTCGGTGGCGGACTCCATCCCATGAAGGTTTCCCGAATTAGGTCCCATGCAATAATGGCGGAGACGTTTCGTCACCTGCTTAGCTTTTCTTCTGCGATGAATCCAAATGAGTACGTACTTATCTCACCTTTTGTACGAGTAGAAGATTACAGCATAAAGACTATACGATGCAAATTATTCAGCTCGTCTTAAGATTCTACTGCAACATAGACTGGAATAATCCAAAGATTATACGCCCATATCAGCGATCTGTAGTGAAAGACTCGGACTATATTTATTGGATTTGCTCCACAATCTACTGACTTAGATAAATAATTTGTACTAAGTGAATAAAATTTATAATTGATTTATAAAAGACTCATATATGCCATCTCCCCACCATATGCATAGCACCAAATGATAATATATTAATGATACATGGTTGCTATCTCAATGTCATATGGATAGCAAATTACGGGATATCATCTCAACATCATGTGACTATCACAAGAATATTACATGATAATATATTCGATGTCATGTGGTTGTCACCTCAACATTACGTAGTTATCACCTAAGTGCCACGTGAGTCGTTGACACATGATTAACATGTGATCGATACACAATTGACACATGAATAATCGCCCATTGTAATCGACATCGAATCGAAAACTAAGTTAATCATTGAAGGGATATTTGTTGGGAACACCCTTCATAGTTGAATGAGATCAATACCTTCAGGATTGGATTAGTGTGGTGTTAATTAAGATCAAACTATAATATATATAGAAAGAACGAAAAGAATCAAATTCTATACAAATACTATCATTAACAATAGGTTATCCATCGGGTCGGGCTAATTAGTCTCACAATAGGAATCATTTTGTAGACAAACAATCAATATAAACCAATTAGGTGCTAAATAAATTCCATATGCCCAAGCAATTGTGCTAAGATTTCCATTTATTCACGGCAACAGCACTATGCTAAAAACCTTTCTATCGAGCAAATGTTTCAACCAACGAAACCTAAAACTAAAGAATCATATGATCAAGTCCTCAAACTAATGCCAACTCCTTCAATTGTTTCTGTCATAACCTAAGACGAAAGCAACCATCAGTTTCCTAAACCAAATTAGAAATATCACCCATGAGCAAGCCGCTGAAATCATCATTGTCGAACATGTCATCTTCATCTTCCCACATTTCTCTTCCTCCTTCTTCTTCAACATCATCAACATGATCTTTCTACGACCAAGATGAACGGAAGTGCTTGTAAGTGTCCCCGGGTGGTATTTGTAGAGGTCCACTTCTTGGATTACATTGCTGGGGAGTCGTTCTGCCTTGTCCTTCAATGTGAGATACACGATGAGCTCTTCGTCTTTGGGAGTAAACCTAATCCCAGGAGGATAAGGCTCATACACGTAGTCATCATAATACCGGTCTTCCTCCATTACTGCTTTGGCGAAGCTTGCTCGGGGAGAGAGAGAGAGAGAGAGAGTATAGTCCTAGTAACTCGAAACTCTTCTCGAGCTATATTATACGGCCACTTTTTCAAGTAAATTTACGGAGCAAAATTTGATCTTC